GGTTTGGTGGTTAAGTAAAGTTCTTTTGGGATTTTTGGAGGTTTCGATCCGTTCGTTTGTAAAATATTTAGGTGAAGACGAGGCCGGGTTTGAGTATATGGTTGAAAAATAGGATGAGTTTGTGTTAAAAGTTTTGTGTTTCAGAGTGGTGAGTCGTCAGAGAAGACGACAGCGCCACCGTCGGCCTTCTCAGACGAGGGTCTTGCAGAGAGAGAAGGGCGTACCACGATATTTGAGAGAGGGAGAGAAAAGAAACACTAGATGAAGAAGTGAATAGGTTTTTATGTTTGTTCTCTTGGTTTTTGGGTTTCAGGCCCTTTAGCTTCTCTATTTCCTTTCAATTCATTTAATTTAAATTTTATTAAAGTCATTAAGTGGCTTGTGGGAAATGATAATGGTGTGCCCTTAGTTTTCTACACTGTTTATTTGTTCCCTTTTTCGTTTTACTATAACCAATATCAGGTCTTCATTAAGTTTGAGTTGTATTTCCAAATGTGTTGATCAGACTTCCAAGAGTGTATAGGAATTCACGTTTGCCTTGGGAAAGAAAGGGTAACCGAAAGATTTTTTTTGTCCTTTCCTGTTCCTTCTTTGGATTTATCATTTTAGTAATTAAGGGTTTGGGCTTCCTTTTAGGCTTGGCCCGATCTAGCTGCGGCCAAGCCTGTCAAATTAAAGTATATGCACCATTTCTATTGATGTGCCTCTTTATTCAGATTGGGTTGGGTCTGTTGTTTTTAGTTCTTGGTTTAATCTCAATGCACATATCTTGTGTGGTTTACATAACTAATTAATTAATTGTATTTTTATTCACTAATTAAATATTTTTTAATTGAGTTAATTGAATAATGAAATTTTCATTTTGTTGACTAATTAATGCGATTAAGAAATAAATTTAGAAGTTAGTAAAAGTATACTCAATTATTCATTTGTTGTTTAAATTTATCATCTTGTGCTTGATGGATCTATTAACTTGTGCAATTCTCATTCATTGATATCCAATTGTTGATTAATTCAAGCACTTACACATTCAAACAATTTTCAAAATAAATTCTCGATTCAACGTCGAGCCACTTTTCACCTTGTAAGTCGATCGCTTTTTAAGTATCGCCATCAACCTTTTGATCACCATACACAATACTCATAAGCTTACTCTTGGGCTTTCTTACAGTGAGACCTATTCGATCAATTTTTTTTAGTTGGTCGTTTAGAAGACTAGCCCACTTTGCTAGTGCACACGATTAAAATTAAATTCGATTGATTTCCTTTACTTGTTTATTCATATTTTGTTCTTGCATATTAATTCCAAAACCCTAAAGCATACTTGATCCATATATAAAGCTCTACCCCAACTCTTGTAATCCAATTTCCTTGTGAATCACTATCGACCTTACCTTATGTAATTAGGACCTCACTTTCGTTCATTTTTAAACCCTTAAGACGTTTTCGAACACAAACTCAAACCTCAATTCACATCGAGTATCATCGAATAAAATTAAAACATTTAATAACTATAAAACATTTCTCAATAAAATATGAAAAGAGGATTGGACTGGAGTTTTCGAGTTCTCTCTTTGATTGTTTAAGCCCGAGGAGCCATTCTTACGCTCTAACAATCGTCTTCTCTAAAAGACTTATAAATCCGCTTCACATCAAACTTTTTATAAAGAATCAAATCACATCTATTTTCTCAATCACTTATATGAAAAAGATAAAGAGTCGAGTCTTCCATTCACTCTCCTGATTATTTGTGCCCAAGGAGTCTTTCTTAAGCTTTCAAGTAAACGTCATCCTCTTAAAATACTTAAACAATATCAAAATCCTTTCACAACTAAGGTTGAAAAAGAGAGTCGAGTTGAGTCTTCGATTCACTCTCCCGATTATTTGTGCCCAAGGAGTCTTTCTTAAGCATTCAAATAATTGTCATCCAAATAAACAATCAACACATTAAATCAACTTCTCGCCTCCGTGCAATCAAAACACTTTCTCAAAAGGACATGTTATTTCCGTTCTACCGTAATATATGTAACGTGTAAGACTTCACGAGCAAGCTGCAATACACCTAACTATTAGAACGCGAACATTAGCATCATCCGTAAAAAAACATCAATAAACCGTATGCCAAACTATGGATGCTCTGATTCTTCACTTCTTTCAAGTGAAGATGCGTAGGCACAAGGGCTCAAATCCTTGGCGAGCACCCTAATCAAAACAACCCATTTTCCCCTTAGTAATCTAAATTTTTTTACCTTACATTTTCGCTTTATTCGCTTAGAAGAAAATAAACAAGCTTAGCTAACATCTCCCATGAGTCGAATTAAAAGATTCTCGTTGAGTACAATGGACGTGAGGGGATGCTAATACCTTCCCCTCACGTAACCGACTCCCGAACCAAGAATGTGGTTGTGATGACCATGTTGTTTCCCTAAAGTTAAATTTTTATCATATTTTCCTTTCCCTCTTTGGGATAAATAAAATTCGGTGGCGACTCTGTTGTTTTCCACGTCCCATCGCGAAGTTCGTATTATTTTTCGAGGTGCGACAATATGCAATGGATATTTTGGAAGAAACAAGTTTGTTGGACGTTAAAATAGTTGATACTTCTATGGATCTAAGTGTTAAAATCCTAATCAATCAGTGGGGAGCCTCTATCTGACTCAAGGTATAAAATATTGGTTGGAAAGTTAAATCATCTCACACTCACTCATCTGAACATTTCTTTTGCAGTTAACATGGTAATCCAGTTCATAAATTCTCCTTGCCAAAAACACATGAACGTTGCTATCGAGATTCTGAGATGCATCAAAGGTGCTTCAGGAAAAGGTCTCATTTATGACGATAAAGGAATACTTAAACAATAGGATATTCTTATGTTGATTTGGAAGGCTCACCCATTGATAGACAATCCACATCTGGGTATTGTGTACTTATTGGAGGAAACTTGATATCCTGAAAAAGTAAGAAACAAAATGTAGTTGCAAGATCAAGCGCTGATGCAAAATATATGGCTATGACACTAGTAACATGTGACTTTGTTTGGTTGAAGGAGCTGCTCAAAGAACTTTAATTTGAAGAAGCAAGACCAACAACACTTATTTGTGATAACCAAGTTGCATTGCATATTTCTTCGAATCCAGCTTTTCACGCGAGGACCAAATATATTGAGATATACTGTCATTTTTTCAGAGAGAAGATCGATTCAGGCAACATTGTGACAAGCTTTGTCAACTCTAATGATCAATTGACATGTGTGTTCACAAAATTCATGCGAGGTCCTAGAACTAATCATATATGTGGTAAGCTTGGTTCATTTAGCTTATATGCTAAAACTTGAGGGGGATTGTTAATATTTGTATATAGAATATTCCTTAGCCTAATCTAGAATAGCATAGAATATACAGTAGCATATTCATTTATGTAATTAATACAACAAGTTGTAAATTTCACTATATAATGCAATCTTCGTAGTACTATTCAACACACAGTTTGTTTAAATGTCTTTTATTCTCTCTTATTTCAACAATCTATTTTCTTGGTTGAAATGAAAACCCGATGGATAAAGTAACTAAGGGATACACTTCAAATCCTAGCAACTGCAATTAATGTTTTATTTCTTTTTTAGTTTATTCTATTCCTTCGGTTATCCTAACAACCGAGGACAAATATTGATCATTTTTTCCTATAAAAGCATTTGCTCATTCAATTTTGTCCTAATCTAAAAGTATTCTTTCATTCAATTTTGTCCTAATCTAAGAAAATGGTGGATGATAAAAATATTTAGGATATATACGGTACAATGTTTTCTTTCTAGATATGCAATAGAAGTAATTTATTTCCTCGATTGGTCTGAAAACCGACGGAAAATGTCATTATTTTATTTCGTAAACAAATCCTTACGATCCATAAACAAATCCATGTTGACAATTATTTGAGTATCATACTCAAGACACTGCCGACACATTAATCCGCAAGAAACATTAGTGATCCGCATGAAACCGCCACGACAACCATTCAAAACACGAACACCACACTATATATCTAAATTACAATTATTTTGAATCACAAACATTGATAGTGAAATATTATAATTAAAAAAAGTGAAACTTAAAGAGACGTGGAAACCGTCTTTGTGATGAATTGCAAAAAACATATATTAGTATTGATTCAAGGTTTGTGTTCTTTACATAATCTCTTCTTTTTATATATTATAAATTATTTTTCCTATCTAACATTTGTTAATTTTATATCATAAACAAATATATCCGAACAATTGAGAACATATTGCATATACACATATGCAACAAATTCTAGTATTTACTATTCACCAAGATTCACAAGGATGATGATGAATATGTTTCTAGATTTTTCTTCAAATTTGTATTTGTAATTTTAAACAAAAACAATGTAAAATTATGAAAATTTGTATTTTGCTGGAAACATGTTATATATATATATATATATATATATATATATATATATATATATATGTGTGTGTGTGTGTGTTTTTTTGTGTAAAATTGTTATTGCTGATTTTGAACTCGTGAACGATATATATATATATATATATATATATATATATATATATATATATATATATATATATATATATATATATATATATATATATATATATATATATATATATATATATATATATATATATATATATATATATATATATATTTTCTCAATGTATCAAAATTCGAACGAAAAAATAACAACCTTTTGTGAAACCCTTCCATATATTACCTATAAATTTGAGATGAAATTTTTTTTCAATCGAGATACATTTTTTTTTTGATAGTATTGTCGTTTATGGACTTCATTACTAGGTGTAGAGACAATATATATTTTAGTGACCCTGTGGAAGATCTATTTTAAACTAGAAAGGTAGATCCAGTATCTTGTTGCTAGAGTACAGGTGAACAATTATTTTAAGCAAACACCACATGCAACTACTAAGAATCAAGAAACAACTTAGCGGTATGATTATTTCATTCTCAGAACCTCTTGATAAATTCATAGATGTGATTACTGATCTCCTCTGCTGCTTCCTCATTGTTGAAATGAGCCACACCTTTCTGCACAATCACTTCCTCCAAATTGGGCACATCTTCCTTGAAACCTCCACCATGTATATACTCCTTCGTGTTAAACGAGGTGTATATCATGTCTAACTCACCTGTAATGAATTTCACAGGCACCTTGATTTGGACTCCACTCCATGGTGCCGCGAGCTCCCAATTCCTGCAATACAAAAATAGTTTAACTGTCATTAGAACTGGGATTCGTTTCATACAAAAATAGTTTATTTGTGGAACACAATTATTGAATCACAGAGAAACAGAAAATTACAAGTTAAAGTTTCTATAGTAGTTCAATCCTCCAGTGAAGCCAGTTTTCTCAAATTTGGAAACATAATAAGCAAGATCGTCTTCTGTGAGCCATGATGGCAAAGTATCCGGGGTATCCGGGTTGAATCCAGTTCCATACTCTCCCTTTGGAAGGATCGGAGGACCGGTTTTCCGTGTTGTGAGGATATTTTTCAGCACATATGCAGTACCAACTTCAGCCATCTCAGCTTCCATTTTACCTGGTTCCTGTGATACGGATCAAAAACAGTTATTATATCATATGTGGATTACTTAAGTTAATTAAACACGGAGTTACCTGAAATCTGCAGATATAATAATCGTCACCGTAAACAGCACGCATAGCATCAACTGTCCTGACTTTGGGGTTTCTACGGATAAAGGGAACACTGAGACACACATAGGCTTTGATTCTTTCCGGGCGAAACATGCATAGATACCAACCAATAATAGCACCCATATCATGACCTACAAGGAACACTTGTTCAATACCGAGTAAATCGATGAGAGCAACAATGTCACCCGCTATATGAAACCCCGTGTAACTACTTATCGAAGCTGGAGCTTCGGTGTCTCCGTAGCCACGGAGATCCGGAGCTACCGCGCGGTAACCGAGTGAGCCGAGAGCAGCAATTTGGTGGCGCCAGGAGTACCAGAGTTCAGGGAAGCCGTGAAGGAACAAAACAACCGGTCCTTGTTTGCCTTTCTCAGCGATATGCATTTTAATGCCATTTACTTCAACTGTTCTGTGCTCTATTCCTTCCATGATCGATTCTTTCTGAGAGAAAATGTGAAGAAAGTTTAGAAGCACGTTTTGATGCAGTGATGATACTAATACAGAGAAATAATTAATCATCACCAATGCCGTATTCGACTATGAAACATCTATTTTTGACGGCACAATCTCGTTTGTCAAACTTTCTTGTTAACCATTTTCGGTTTTGTGACAAATATCCGTCCCGAAGAGAGGTACTCGTGTAATCTAAGAAGTCACACACTTCATTAGTTTTCGTGTATCCAAAGGCAAATTTAATTTCCTCAAGGAAAAGTCAAACAAAGAAGTCGAGTGTGATTCTTAAATCTAATCAAGTATCAAGAGACTACTCACAACATGCATTTAATCAGTTTATTGATTTTTTAAATCCAATACTTTTACCTCTTTCTAATTTTACTCTTTATTTCTTGAATTTATTTCTACACAAATTAATGATGATGTTGTCTTATAAGTTATATTCATGTGTTTGAGATTTTTTTTAAAGAATCGGATGGCCATTAGAATTAATAACAGCCTGGATGGAAAACGATAGTTTTGTTTTTTAATTTCGAAAAGAGCCTGTATTTTAGACATTATTTGACCACCTTAAATAGTTTTTTTTGGATGTAGATAAATTATTTTGATCATCTTAAATAAATTTTTTTGAGAAGAAATTTTAATAATTTTCAAATAGAATTTAATAATAATTGTTTGACTACTCTAAATTATTTCTTATAAATAATTTAAATAATTTTTTAAAAACATTAAAAAAAAAACTCAAAAAAATTAAGGTGAAGAAGTTGAGACTTAGACTAATAAAAATATTTTAGAATGAGACTTAGACTTTTTTCTTATATTATGTCGAAAACTAACTAAAGGGAAATATAGATTTTTTTTCCAATTAACACAAATACATTTAGTTTTTTTAACAATGTGAAACTTTAAGGAATTTTTTTCAAATTCATCCTCATATTAAAACTTTGGCATTTCTTTTGGCAAGTTGTTCAAATTAATGTTTGTCTTTAAATGTTACAGCACTCACCCATTTGAATTTTAAAGAAGATTCTAAAATTAGGGTCAAATGTGTCTATAAATTAGTACATCAGTAAAGGTGTCAACAGACTTGAACTGGAACATACTGAGTAAGATTTTTAGATTTAACAAGAGTCATCATAGTTTTGAACTCCATCTCTGACATATGAGCAATATTTCACTTTTTTAGGTGTATTCTAAAAAAATCGTGATATTTTGGTCATGCATGTCTATCCTAGTTTAGTGAACGTTTTAGAAATCCATGTATGTGATTTCATAAGAAGTGACTCCACTTCCACATTTACAAAGGTGTCTCTCTCAAGAATACTCATGTAACTAGGTACTCCACTCCATTAAGAGTATATATCTCATTAGTAATTTCTAATACCTTGTGCAATTCACTAAGATCTCACCGAACACTAGTGTTTCCAACCCCGCAGAATCAAGAAATGAGATTTTGTTACGATTCTGATAAAAAATTCAACACGAATTTAAGAAACGAAATCAATCACACATCGCCTCACTGTCCACTCGTGTTTCCATGTGTTTTCCTGTGGATCTGAATCGGAGCTCTAGATATTAATTTTTGGTGCACGAGTTGAAGAAGATGAAGAAAGAGAGAAGAGAGAGAATAACAAACTTCCACTACTCTTACAAAACAGTTACACAATAGTTACGCCACTACTTACTTTACGCGCACTGCTACAACTATTGACAATTACACTAACATATATACACAAATGATAATGCCACATGGGCAAAAATGATAACCTACACTAACTAGGTTAAGTTTAACAAAACTAATACTAATACTACTGAATATGAATTACTTCTAACAAACAACATTATTGGTTCAAGTTTCTATAATAGATTAATCCTCCAATGAAACAAGCTTTCTCAATTTTGAGACAAAATAAGCAAGATTATCTTCCGTGAGGTAAGAGAGCAGAGTATCAGGGGTATTCCGGATTGAATCCAGTTCCATACTCTCCCTTTGAAAATATTGGAGGACCGGTTTGACACTTTGTGAGAATATTTTTCAGCGCATATGCAACGCCAACTTCGGCCATCTCAGCCTCCATTTTTCCATGTTCCTGTGATACAGATAAAAATAATCATGACATATAGATCTATCACTAAAGAAATTTATCACTTTATTTTACAAAAACAAAGAAATGGAAAGGATCTGAAATTTGGAGATATAATAATCATCTCCATAAGCAGCATGCATGCCATCAACGATTCTGATTTTGGGGTCTCTATGAAGCAATGGAACACTGATACACACATAGGCTTTGATTCTTTCAGGGTGAAACATGCATAGATATCATCCAATGAGAGAACCCCAATCACGAGCCATGATGAACACTTGTTTAACACCGAGTAAATCGATCAGAGCAACAATGTCACCTACTATACAAAATCTAGTGTAACTAGTTAATGAAGGTGGCTCATCAGTGTCGTCGTAGCCAAGTAGATCTGGAGCCACAACATAGTAACCAAGAGAACCAATAGCCACAATCTAGTGGCGCCATGAGTACCATAGTTGAGGGAAACCTTGAAGGAATAAGAAGACTGGTCCTTGTTTTCCTTTCTCAGCAATATGCATTTTGATTCCATTCAATTCCCCGGTTCTGTGTTCTATTCCCTCCATTATCGATCTTTCTGAGAGAAAATGTGAAGGAAGTTTGGAAGCACGTTTCGAAGTTGATGTTTCATGACAGAGTACAATTATGATTAAATAAATAGTTAAAATTATGAGTAGAATTTATATTGGTGTTTTATTTTGTAATACTTTCTAGAATATTCTTAGGATCTTTTAATGTTGTTGGATTGGGCTTTTAGTTAAGTATGCATCATGAGTACTATTATATATGCAATGTCTACGACGCTTTAGAAAAAATGAATCAAAATGAAAAGTGTATTTTATTCCTTTTATTTTATTTAGTCATTTTAGTGTTATTTTCCTTTTATTTTAGAAACCCTAGTTCAATAGACTTTGGTATAAAAATCTTCCTATCAATTGATGCTCTTATTGGGAGATCTCACTTTTGCTTGAACTCATGAAAATATTATTGTTTGACGGAGAAGATGAGGCATATTGGTGGATTCTTTGTTTTGAGAAATTTTTCAAGGAACATGGAACCTCAGAGTCATTGAAGGTGTTGAAAGCGGTTGGAACATTGAGAGGTCGTGCTCTCAAATGGTGGCAATGGCGGTCTAAATATCACTCATGGATGTCTTGGAATACATTCGCAGAAGTGTTTCGTTGGCATTTTAAACCTGAGTGGAGACATCTTTTTTTGAAATTAGATGAAGAAATAGAACCAACTTATACATCTGTAGAACCTGTAGTTGCAACTTCCTTTCCTGACGATTTCATTGATGATAAATTTAGAGATGCAACTCTAGCAACTATTGAGCAGAACCATGAAGAATCACCAGATTTGAATGGAAAACAACCAGAGCAGCTCATTATGGATGAAACCTTACCACTATCGTTCACGAAGGAGTCAGATTTGAAGTTGAATCCTTGTTCCACTTGTCCACCACCATCAAAGACAACCTATTTTTGCTCTTATGACGCTGATGACGAGTTATTATTGTTTGTGACAGATGAAATTAAATCTAGCACAGGGGTGGACGCTTTGATCTCTAATATCGAGCCATATGACCCAGGACCACCCAAACCTCTTCACACCCACAACCATGATTTTCGGATTCAAGATTATTTGCAAATATCATATTGAAGAAAGCCAAAAAAAAAATATTTTTTATGGGTATCATTACTCAAGTATTTTTTATGGGTATCATTACTCAAGTTAGGTGGATACACACATGTAACATTATTAAAATTGAAAGAAAGAATATTTTTATATTTTTACAAATCGATGGTGTATCATTTATTTGTGATCGATAAACTTTTTAATTTAGAAGACAATCTTGAATCAGGATGATGTCTACCTTCTTCTACCTAGTCTACTCATTTTCTCCAAAGTGTCATAGAGTGTATGAAAATAACTTCTACACATTCATCTTTGTTTGGTTTTTATCAAAGGTTTATGGTTTAATCTGAACCATTAGTTGATTGATGAATCGTGTGGCTCAGATTAAGAGAGCAAGTTGCGCCCATTAATAAGTGTTGCACTTAAGCCTTGACCTCACAATTAGCACGTGCTTTATCATCTGCACACCCATTCCTTATGATGATGCATTTTTCAATTTTCATTTTTCCTCTTTTATTTTTGTTGTCCCAATTCTTCATGTAAAGTGTGACTTGCACTTTATATAAACAAGCTTGTAGTTTCTTTAGAATTATTAATCAAATATGCATTAGCTTCATTTCATTTATGCCTTCTTTATTGTTTACTTTTCTAAATACCGTATCATTCACCATTATTAATTTAACTAAGTATGAAGGTATAGTTTCGGAGTTTAAATGTGATGTTAATAAGTGAAATCATTTCGAATTGTTAGGTATATTTAAAGATCTAAGATATAGGGAAGTAGATACTCTATGGACAAAGACCCATTGTTTGGGATGCAAGGTGCTCAAAATATTGCAAATTTATGTAAGGTGAACCTTCATTACTAATGCAGAAGATTTTGTGAATATTATAAAAATTCCACTTAGATTCTGGAGTAAATCACAATTTAGGACAAGTACATAATGTGACACACTGTTTAATAATATGTTAGAATCATTTAACAGTGTGATTATTGAAACAATGACTAAGTCTGTAATTAAGGGTGACAAAACGATCATCCATCCCATTCTATCTTACGTCCGCCAAAAAAAGATACGGGCGGACAAGTCTGTCAAATGAAATTGAATTTAAAAATCTAGTTCGCTCTCCTAAAGTGACAGGCGGACTTGCCCATCTATTATTTTTTTATTTTTTATATTTTTTTAATAAATTAATATGTTTATTTTTACATTTCAATTAAAATTTTCATTTATTTTTTAAAACAAATTTTTATATAGCATTTTTAAACAAATTTTACTTAAAAAAATATTACATATATTAATAAATAAATGTATAAAATAGAATAATCAACCGGTATTCCAAAACTATAATTTAAGTATTAAGCTTCAACCAACCAAAATAAACATTTTGAATATTTGATAATTAGGTTGACACGCTGGCGGGTCAACGCACTTTTTTTTGACGGGTTTAAGCCGGGGGGGACTAAACGCGTAGTCTGACACAAAATCCCAATCCAACCCACTATTTTTTAGTGGATGTGCGGATCAAGCCGGGTTTCAGTTTTGCCACCCTACTTGTAGTAAGGTACATATGTTACTTTTGATTCCCACCCTACTTGTAGTAAGGTACATATGTTACTTTTGATTCATATGTTCATTTAGTACTGTAATCTAGGATTTTTTTTTATTCCTGATATAGGATGCCAACTAAGCACATCTTTAATGTTAGACCCATTAAAAATTCAAGAGGCAAGTCTTCAGTCAACTTGAATGAATTTGTATGCTCATGCAGCTTTGCCACACGACTGTGTAGTTGAATGAAGAGAGGGAGGGAACCCTAAATTTGCAAAAAGTCCAAAATATCATGCAATCTACAACACTCATATATAACAATATGGTAAGGGAGATCCAATCCAACCATAAATTAAATAAAAAATTATTGTAAAGACAACACATATGTTAACTATCAGGAATATCTAGATACAAGTTTTTTATGGTAACCATGATGAAAAGCTATTTTGAAACCGAAAGATAGATTCAATATCTAGTACCAAAAGTATCAAGTAGATGGAGTACAAGTGAACAAATTGTTGCAAATACAACACATGCAACTACTAAGAATATAACATACATTCAATGAATTCAGCTGCAAAAACAAACATTAATTCAATGAATTCATCGGCATAATTTAACTATAACTATAACATTATATTAATCTGCATATGATTATTTTATTGGCAGATCAGCTCAGAACTTCTTGATGAATTCGTAAATATGGTTGCTAATTTCCTCAGCTGCTTCCTGATTATTGAAATGAGCCACACCTTTCTGCACAATCACTTCCTCTAAATTGGGCACATCTTCTTTGAAACCTCCGCCGTGTACATACTCCTTCATGTTAAGCGAGGTGTATACCATGTCTAACTCACCTGTAATGAATTTCACAGGCACCTTGATTTGGACTCCACTCCATGGTGCCGTGAGCTCCCAATTCCTGCAATACAAGTAATAATTTGTGTCATTAAAATTGTCATCATTACCTATGAACTATTAACACAAACATGAGACACTTGAACAATATAGATTAGTGAAAAACACAGAGAATCAAAACATTACTGGTTAAAGTTTCTATAGTAGTTCAATCCTCCAGTGAAGCCAGTTTTCTCAAATTTGGAGACAAAATAAGCAAGATCATCTTCTGTAAGCCAAGATGGCAGAGTGTCCGGGGTGTCAGGGTTGAATCCGGTTCCATATTCTCCCTTTGGAAGTATCGGAGGACCGGTTTTCCGTGTTGTGAGGATATTTTTCAGCACATATGCAGCACCAACTTCAGCCATCTCAGCTTCCATTTTTCCCGGTTCCTGTGATACGGATCAAAAAAATATCTGAAAATTTGAAGAATACACTCATATAAAATTGAAAAAATAAAAGTAAAGAAACGGAAAGGACCTGAAATCTGCAGATATAATAATCATCTCCATAAGCATGATGCATGCCATCAACGGTTCTGATTTTGGGGTCTCTGCGGAGTAAGGGAACACTGAGACACACATAGGCCTTGATTCTTTCAGGTCGAAACATGCATAAATACCATCCAATGACAGCACCCCAATCATGAGCCACGAGGAACACTTGTTCAACACCGAGAAAATCTATGAGAGCAACAAGGTCACCTACTATATGAAATCCTGTGTAGCTGCTTACTGAAGCTGGAGCATCGGTGTCACCGTAGCCACGTAGATCTGGTGCCACAGCACGGTAACCGAGGGAACCAAGAGCCGCAATCTGGTGGCGCCAAGAGTACCAGAGTTCAGGGAAGCCGTGAAGGAACAAAACAACTGGTCCTTCTTTGCCTTTCTCAGCGATATGCATTTTGATGCCATTCACTTCCACTATTCTGTGTTCTATTCCTTCCATCTTCTTCTTTTCTTTTCTCCGACAAAATGTGAAGAAAGTTTAGAAGCACGTTTTGAAGTGAATGTTTCAATAAGCGGTGATTATAGTTTTATAATGGATAATGTTACTACTAGAAGAAGTGATACGAAATTCTAATGGATAATGTTACTACTAGAAGAAGTGATACGAAATTAATCAACATCGCTATAGTCCTATTAATCAACACCGCTAAGATTTTCAATTAAGGAAAATAATGAAATTATAAACAACATTTTAGTTTTATTGAACTAATTTTATTAATTATCGATGTTTTTCTAGTATAAAAAAATATAAAGTGAACATATATAAAGTATTATTTTGAGAGATGTGTATGTGATTCTCTTTCGTCTCAAATTATATAATACATTAAGATTGTAGATGATTCTTTAAAAAAAATAACTTAATTGATTTTCATAAAATTAAAATTATGCTTATCAATATAATTATAGTGGGTGGAGCTTGAGTCGATAGAACTTGGTCCATCTATTCTAGAGTCTTGATTGACTTACTTGTCAAGATACAATAGAAACAATGTTACCGATTTACGAGATTAATTATAATTTTAGAGATAGGGAGTTGACTCAACCATAAGCCATGTAAAGACTTATCTGATATTGTGAGATTGAATTCTATATTAAGCACATATGATAATGATTGTTGAAAATCTGTTTTCTATCATTTCTGTTGGTGTAATCGGTTATCCGGTTTATAGTAACCGATTACACAGTCGTTTTTTTAGAGGTAGTGGCGTTTTTAACTGGGTGGAACTGGTTACCCAGATTATGGTAACCGGTTACGACTATAGATTTTTCAGTTTTCAGCTTATTTTTAAGTTGTTTTGCTTTTTTCATTATTTTATAACTGATGTATAAAAGGTTTTTAGTGCTCCCAATTATTGTTAATGCCAATTTTTATTCTCACCCTCAATTTTTAACTTCATCTTCTCCAAATTACCTTAATTCTCCATTAATTCACCTTAATCGATTTGTATGTTCTAACATTTGACATCAAGAGCTCTGGTTCTGATCCAATTCTATTGCAATAATGAGTACCGTTTCCAAGGATAGAATCCCTACCAACCTTCCGATTCTTGAATCAAAGAACTATGACAAGTGGTCAAAGCAAATGAAAGTGTTGTTTGGGTATCAAGAAGTTCTTGAAGTGATCAACAATGGAGTTACACCACTTGAGGCAGAAGCTACAGAGGAACAAAAGGCTACATTCATGGAAGAGAAGAAGAAAGATTACAAGACATTCTTCTTGATTCATTCTTGTGCTGATAGTGACAACTTCGAAAAGGTTGGCGATTGTGAGTCAACAAAGCAAGCTTGGAAGATATTGGAGAAAGCTTATGTCAGAACTGTTAAGGCGAAGGTGGTGAGGTTACAAAACCACGAGGCAATTCGAGTTAACGCAAATGAAATAGAAGGAAAATATCAACGATTATGTGACACGTATTACGTGTTTAGTGAATCAAATCAAGTATTGTGGAGAAATGATTTTGGAGCAAAATGTTGTGTTGAAGATTTTGCGTTCTTTAACGTCAAGATTTGACAATATTGTAGTGGCTATCGAAGAATCTGAGGACCTTGCAACGTTGAGCAAAGA